ATAAACATCTTTCTGGTATTCTTTGCTGTGAGCCAATATTTATCTGACATCAGCAATTATATCCCTCATTCCACGGCCTCTTCTGAATTCAGCTTGCATTTCTGGCAGTTCTTTATCAATATACTGTTGTAGCCATTTTTGCATTATGTTAATGATATTGTTCAATAAGTCCCACATTTTGTGGGATTACCTTTCTTTGGAATGGGTACAAATATGGATCTCTTTCAGTCAGTTGGCTAGGTAGCTGTCTTCCAAATTTCCTGGCATAGATGAGTAAGTGCCTCCAGTGCAGTATTTATTGAAACATCTCAATGGGTATTCCATCAATTCCTGGAGACTTGTTCTTTGCCAATTCCTTCAGTGCAGTTCAACTTCTTCTTTCAGTACCATTGGTTCTTGATCATATGCCACCTCCTGAAATGAATGAACATCAACTAATTCTTTTTGGTATGATGATTCTGTGTATTATTTCCATCTTCTTTTGATGTTCCTTGCATCATTCAGTATTTTGCCCATAGAATATTTTAGTATTGCAACTCAAGGCTTGAATTTTTTCTTCAGTTTTTTCAGCTTGAGAAATGCCAAGCATGTTCTCCCCTTTTGGCTTTTTAACTCCAGGTCTTTGGACATTTCATTATAATAATTGACTTTGTTTTCTCAAGTTGCTCTTTGAAATCTTCTGTTCAACTCTTTTATCTTGTCATTTCTTCCATTTTTTTTTTTTTTAGCTACTCTATGTTCAAGGGTGAGTTTCAGAGCCTCTTCTGACATTCATTTTGGTCTTTTCTTCCTTTCCTGTCTTTTTAAATGACATTTTGCTTTCTTCTTTGATGATGTTCTTGATGTTATCCCACAATTCCTCTGTTGTTTGCTCATTGGTGTTCAACGCATAAAAGCTATTCTTTAGATGGTCTCTAAGTTGATATAATCAAGGTAATATTTTGGCTCTCGTGGGCTTATTTAATCGTCCTCAGCTTCAACTTGCATATGAGCAGTTGATGGTCCGTTCCACAGTCAGCTCCTGGCCTTGCTTTGGCTGAAGATATTGAGCTTCTCCATTTTCTCTTTCCACAGATGCGGTCAATGTGATTTCTGTGTGCTCCATCTGGTCCATGTGTATAGCCACTGTCTATGTTGTTGAAAAGGTATTTGCAATGAATAAGTCATTGGTCTTGTAAAACTCTATCATGAGATGTCCAGCGTCATTTCTATCACCAAGGCCATCTTTTCCAACTACTTTTCCTTCTTTGTTTCCAACTTTTACATTCCAATCACGAGTGATAATCAACACATCTTGATTGCATGTTTGGTCAATTTCAAACTGCAAAAGTTGGTAAAAATCTTCAATTTCCTCATCTTTGGCTTTGGTGGTGGTTGTGTAAATTTGAATAATAGTAGTATTAACTGGTCTTTGTTATAGGCATATGGATATTATCCTATTGCTGACAGCCTTGTACTTCAGGATAGATCTTGAAACAATCTTTGTGATGATGAATGCCACGCCATTCCTCTTCAATTTGTCATATAGTAGGTCATATGGTTGTCTGATTCAAAATGGCCAAAACCAGTCCATTTCAGCTCACTAATGCCTAGGATATTGATATTCATGTGTTCCATTTCATTTTTGTCAGCTTCCAGTTTTCCTAGATTCATACTTCATACATTCCATGTTCTGATTATTAATAAACGTTGACAGCTGTTTCTTTCCATTTTGAATCATGCCACACCAGCAAATGGAGGTCCCCAAAACTTCACTCCATCTACATCATTAAGGATGACTCTACTCTGAGGAGGCAGTTCTTCCCCAGCCATATTTTGAGTGCCTTGAGACCTCAGGGGCTCATCTTCTGGCACTATGTCGAACAATATTTCAGGGCTATTCATAAAGTTTTCCAGTAATATACACTGTTTCACTGCTATTTATAAGATTTTCACTGCCCCATTCTTTGAGAAGTAGATGGACCCTTCCTTCTTCTGAGTCTCTCTAATCTGGAAGCTCTGCTAAAACCTGTCCACCGTGAGTGACCCTGCTGGTATTTTAAATACCAGTGACATAGCCTCTAGCCTCACAGCAACATGCAAGTCACCACAGTACGACAAACTGACAGATGAGTGGTGGTGAATGACCATAGGAACTGGTTACTGGGGAATGACTTATATTTCGATGAAGAAAAGGGAAAGAAGAATTTGTGATGAAGGAGGGAGAGAATGGAAGAGCATCAGGATATCACAGTTTCCTCAGAATCAAGGAGAGAGTGCTTGGAAGTCAAATGTTTCTTAGAGATGCTTCCAAGGCTCCTTAAACATCCAGACAAAGGAGGGCTGAATAAAGGTTCCCGGGGCTGGTGAGTGGGGTCAGTGATAATCGTGAGATTGTTTAAGAGGGGCAGGGAGGAATCAATTTGCTGGGCTTTGAGAGGTGAGTGTGTGAGGATACAGAGTCCCTGGGTGACACAAATGGTTAAGCAGTTGACTACAAACCTTACGGTTGGCAATTCAAACTCATGCAGAGGCTGGGGTCAGGAAGAAAGGCCTGACAACTACTTCCTCAAGATCATAGCCATTGAAGCACATAGCCTATGGAGCACAGTTCTACTCTGCAGACATGGATCACCATCAGTTGGAATTGACTGGTTTAGTTTTTTATTTGGTGTCATTATGAAGCAGAGAAGCAGCACACACTGATGCTTGTTTGACAGGTTTGTCAATTAAAGGAGAAAGATGAAAAGTCAGGGAAACATCAGGTTCAGGTCAAGCTTGATCCAGGATTTGCATGTTTGTGTGGAGCAGAAAAGGAACTAGGGAGAAGGGGAGATTGGAGATGCTGGAGGGGACTTTCAGAGGGGGCAAGAGGGCATGACTTTGATGCTCAGGGGCAGATGTGGAGGAGGTTAGGCATTCCTTCTCCTGGGATAGGCAGGAGGGAATAAAATAGGTGAAAACACTGCTAATTTGAAATTTAAAGAAAGTAGGTAAATGAGATATAGGAGAGACTGCTAACTTCTCAGTATTTATTCTCCTTTTCATTTATAGTAAGGAATGTTCCTCCTCCCACCCTAATTTTTACTAATAAGTGAAGACTTCATTTCTCAGCCTACAGTGAAGCTAGATATGAGTATATGCCTCAGTAGTTTGGGCCAATGGGATGTAAACGTAAGTGATGTGGATAATGTCAGAGAAGGTCAATGAAGTGAAGCTTGTGCCCTTCTTCTCCCTTTCCTCCATTCTACTGACTGGATTGGGAATATGACCGCTGGAGATGGAACAGCCATGTAAACCACAAGGTGTCCTTGGGAATGGAGGTCAGACGAGGCAGAGAAGTAAGATTCAATGTCTCTGACACTGTGGACTGTCTACAGCCTTGGGTCACCCACTTCTGGATTTTTGCATGAGAGAGAAATTAACCAACTGCTATCAAGTTGATTCCGACTCATAGAGACCAAATAGGACAGAGTTAAACTACCCAGAGGGTTTCTAAGGCTGTAAATCTTTACGGGAACAGACTGCCTCATCTCTCTCCCGTGGAGTGGTTGGTGGGTTAGAACCACTCACCTACTGGTTAGCACCAAATGCTTTAACGACTATGCCACCAGAGCTCCTTGAAAGAGAAATTAAACCACTGTTAATTTGTGTCTTCTGTTACTTGCAGCCAATCATAATCCTAACCAATATTTAAGGGCAATCTTTGAGAGTAGATTTTGATCTCAGTAAAGTCAAAATGGAGGTCATCTTTGAAGTAGAGCAGGAAGAGATCTGGAATAGCTGCTGAGAGCAGGGCACGTTTGCAGAGACACTTGGGGGATGAATAACTCAGGCTTAGGAATTCAAACCGCTGCTGGCTGTCTCCAGGGCTGAGGAGATGAATATCTCAAGAGTAGATGTCACCTGTCTGTAGGATATCATTGACCAATTCTGGCTCAAGTCACAGATGGTCAATTTGAGGTGGAAGAGTATTTCAGTGGGTGGAGGAGAACAGAAAGACTCAAAGTCTTTAAATTCCTATCAGGGAGCCAGGGTCAGTCTGTCCTTTTTCTGAGCTAACCTTATGTATAGCATAAACCCACCCAATGCCGTTGAATTGATTCTAACTCATAGCGATCCCCATTGTGTTTCCAAGGCTGTAAATATTTATAGAAGTAGGTTGCCTTATTGTCCTCCCATGGGACAGCTGGTGGGTTTGAACCATTAACCTTCTGGTTAGCAGCCAAATATCTTACCCACTATGCCACCAGAGCGCATAGCATAAAATATTATGTAACTAGTGATGATGACAATGCTGTCCATTAGTTACCAAATATATTACACACACACACACACATACATATAATTAGTTACCAAATATAGTCATTGTTAACAATAATATAATGATATAATATTAACTTTTCTGAAAGGAGATTATCTTCAGTAAGGTAACTTGTTCACTCTTGTTTCTTCCATTGGATTTCAAAAGATTATATCCAACCAATATATTCTTATACATCAGTATGGTTCAGATAGACAAGTAATTTAAGGTAATGAAGTATGAGTACTTCTGAAATAAGTATTCTGGGTGAGTAAAGGGAATTTAAATCCAAGTTTCTAAGCAAAACTGTTTGAATGTGAAGTTAGCAGATGTTTTGTCACATACAAAGTCAAGGATCACATGGGAAGAATTTCAGCCACTCATCAGAGTTCTGGGTTCCATCACCTCTGGGACCTTCAACATATGCAAGACATTATCATGTTGTTATTTTTTTTCAAAATTTATTATTATTATTAGTTAACAACTGGTAAAAACATTTTCCAAAATTTATTCGGAACACTTCCCAATAAGCATTTTACTCTAGTTATTTCACTACAGCCATTATTTTATAAATAGCTGAAATTCCCCAACAAACAATGTAAAGCATATAATCTTTTACAAGTTCATGGTGAAATGACCCGTTGTAGGTGGGTGTTTAGTAGATGTGCATGTCCTAGTGCTGTGTTTCCTCATGAGTGACTTCCTTTATGTTCTGTAGAGTCAGTCCCTGACAGAAATGCTTTCCACGGTACAGAATGCTGTTGGAGAGCTGTATCTTGAAATAGGATTGACTCTCGAAGGGTTCCAGTATTTCCAGAAAGCATGGTCAAACTTGATGTGCTTTTCGTCCAACGACTTAAAAAACAACCAAAACTTGGTGAAACAACAAGGTATGGTGGAAACGTGCTAAAAAAAAGTAATGTCTTGTGTTTTATGGAGTCCGACTCCTCCGGGCTATGCCAATCCCATCCACTAAAACCCACTGCCATCAAGTTGATTCCAACTCATGGCAATCCCCTTTGGGTTTCCAAGGCTATAAATCTTTATGGAAATAGATTGCCTCATCTTCCTCCTGAGGAGCAGCTGGTGGGTTTGAACCGCTGACCTTCTGGTTAGAAACGGAAGTGGATGTGTGTGCTTGATTTTCTTTTTTATTTTATTGTAGTAAAAATATATGTAGGGAAATACTTGCCAACTTATCCATTTTTCTACATATAACTCAATGACATGATTGCATTCATCATGTTGTGCAATGAATACCACTATCTTTTCCAAAGTATTTCACCATTGTTGACAGAAACTCAGTGCCCCTTAAGCACTGACTCCCTCTTTCCCCCTCCCTCTTCTCCTGGCTGGTAACCACTAATCAGCTTTGGTCTCTATACAGTTGCTTATATCATATAAGTGGATACAGTATGTATCTTTTTCTGACTGACTTATTTCATTCAGCGAATGTTCTCAAAGTTCATCTATATGTGGCATGCATCAGGACTTCATTTCTCTTTATGGCTGAATAATATTCCATTGTATGTATGAACCTCATTTTGTTTATCCATTCATCTGTTGATGGACATTTAGATTGTTTCCACCTTTTGGCCATTGTGAAAAGTGCTGCAGTGAACATCAGTGTACAGGTTTCTGTTTGTGTTCCTGCTTTCAACACTTTTAGGTGTATACTAGGATTAGGATTGCTGGGTCATATGGTACTTCTCTGTTTAACTTTTTGAGGAACTGCCTATCTCCACAGCAGTTTTACCATTTTGCATTCCCACCAGCAGGGGTCATATTTGCTTGATTTTTTTTTTTTTGAGGGTTGGTGGTTATGTGAGGCTTGACCATAAAGCACTCTTAGTTCTGACAGAGGACTCTTTTGGAATGCCCAAGGCTGTGATGACACACGTCAGGAGAGGAAGCTCCAAGCAGTAAGAGTACATCCATTCAGAGCTCGATTCTGAAGCCATTTTTTCTGGGTTCAAATCCCCTTTCTCCACTTACTAGCTCTGTGCCTTTAGACCCCCATTCTGGGTCCCAGTTTTCTTACTTGTAAAGCAGGGAGAGAAATAGCATCTGCACACATTCTGTGAGTACTGGAAGTACTCGTATGAGACTGAAGCACACAGAGCAGTGCCTGCCATGTGCTTACTCATTAGTGGTAGTTGTTATTTATGATTAACATTGACATTAATGATACTGTTTTATTCTCCAGTATTTGATAGTAGGGGTATTTGTGGTACTACTAATTTAGTGTTTATTTAATTAAGGTATTAGGGATTTTTGACTTACGGATTTGCAGTCAGATTAAACTGAAGGACTCTAGCCTTATTTTATATGTAAATGGATGTATCAGTTAGTTTTTGCTGCATAACAAACCACCCCATAACTTTGTGGCTTAAGACAACCATTTATATTGCCTATAATAATAATAAGTCTGTGGGTCAGTGAGAGATTCTACTGGTCTGGGCTCAGCAAATTTGGTCTGTGTTTATCAAGCGACTGAGGCCAGGTGGCAGGACTGATGGAGCTGGCTGGTCTAAGAGGCCTCATTTACGTGTCTGGTGGTTGTCTGGATGGGCCACATATCACTTATCCTCTAAGAGTTTAGCCCAGGATTCCAGGAGAGAAGGAGAAGTCCAGGTCTGGGTTTGGAACTGGCCCAATGCCCTGTTTTGCTATATTCAGTTGATCAGAGCAAGTCACAGGGCTTCATTTAAGTAGTGAAGAAAGAGACTCCACCTCTTTGTGGGAAGAGTTTCATTGAAAAGGGGACTGAGTACAGGGGGACATGGAAAATTTTAGCCATTTTTGCAGTCTACTGCCACAGCTTAAGATCAAAAGTCACCTTGGGAAAGCCACTCACTCTCTCCATATGCGTGAGGTCTTCATCTATAGAATGAGGGACTTGAATTCACTTTTATAGTAATAGTTAACTTTTTTTTTTTGACTGTTTACTATATAAGATAAGGAGCTCTGGTGGTGTAGTGGATCAGGGACTTAACTGCTAACTGGAAGTTCAGTGTTTCAAACCTACCAGCAGCTCTGTGGAAGGAAGACTGGGTGATCTATTTTTGTAAAGATTTGTTGTTGTTGTTGTTAGGTGCCATTGAGTCCTCTCTGACTCATAGTGACCCTATGTATGTATAACAGAACGAAACACTGCCCGGTCCTGTGCCAGCCTCATCATCCCTGCTGTACCTGAGCCCATCGTTGTAGCCACTGTGTCAATCCGTCTTGTTGAGGGCCTTCCCCTTTTTCATTGACCCTCCACTTTACCCAGCATGATATACTTCTCCAGGGAGTGGTTCCTTCTGACAACATGGCCAAAGTAGGTGAGATGAAGTTTGGCTATTCTCGTTTCCAAGGAGCATTCTGGCTGCACTTCTTCCAGGACAGATTTGTTCATTCTTTTATCAGTCCATGGTGCTCTCAGTATTCTTCTCCAACACCACAACTCAAAAGCATCAACTCTTCTCCAGTCTTCCTTATTCATTGTCCAGGTCTCACATGCTTAAGAGGCGATTAAAAATACCATGGCCTGGGTTAGGTGCACCTTAGTCTTCAAGGAGACATCTTTGCTCTTCAGCACTTGAGAGAGGTCTTTTGCAGCAGATTTACAGCCTCAGAAACCCATTGGGGGTCACTATGAGTTGGAAATGACCTGATGGCAGTGAGTTATATAGAAGATATTTTGTTTGCTATCTCTTTCTTTCTAAATATGCTTCGTGCCTTATGTATTACATGTTGGCAAAGTAGAGGGTCAATGGAAAAGAGGAAGACCTTCAGTGAGATGGGTTGACACAGTGGCTGCAACAATGGGCTCAAACATATCTGCTATTGTGAGGATGACACAGGACCTGGCAAAGTTTTGTTCTGTTTCACAGGAGGTCGCTATGAATCAGAGTCAACTTGATAGCATACAGAAACAACAATGTTATATATTATTACCTCTGTTTCACAGACAAGGAAGCTGAATATCAGAGAGATCAAATAACTTAAACCATTTCATCTCCCAGAGCTGGTAAATTCAGCACTGGGAGTCCCAGTGAGGCCTCTCTGACCCTTAAGCCTGTCCTCGTATCTCCTTGCTGTATGGAATCTCTTCTATCTCTGACATTTATGAGGCTATAGCCCTTGAGGAATAGAGTCTAGCTTCTGAGCTCTTTTCCTAATGGGGGCAGGTCTGGGTGCCAGCATGCTGGGGCCTTGGTGAGCAGGGGAAGCCAGGTGGGAACCAGGAATACTCCTGCTGGGACTGGAACTGGCCCTCCAGAGGCAGCTGGGCTGTCAGAGTACAGAGCTTTAAGGTGTTAGGCAGATCTTGGCTTGTCTTAGACAACCGTGATTCTCTTAGGAGGCCAAGCCAGCAGGTGAGTGGGGCCCAGATGAAAAGGGATGCTCATAGGTAGATCAGCATCATTTGGAGCAGCCATAATGGAAATAGAGTCTTTGGGTGGCTCAAACAGGTAAGTACTGAGCTATACACCAAAAAGTTAGCAGTTCAAATCTACTCAGAGATGCTGCAGATACATGGTGTGGTGCTCTACTTCCAAAAGATCACAGCCCTTGGAAACCCTGTGGAGTTCTAGTCTGACATACGTGGAGTCACCATGAATCAGACAACTAGTTTTTTCAGTGTGATGAGAACACCATGTGGTTCTAATTTAGTGGCAAGAGTCACGTGGGGCCCAGGTAAGCAGATAAAGAGAGGAGAGTGAGCATTCCACCTGATCAGAGTTTACCCATTTGAAAAATGTTTATTGAGGGCCTATTGTGCACCAGTAGCGTAGTGCCTAAGGCACTTGATTGCTAACCAGAAAGCTGGTGGTTCAAACCCACCATCCACTCCTCGGAAGGAAGGTTGGGCAATCTACTTCCGTAGTAATATCGCTTCGGAAACCCAGGGAGGGGTCGCTATAAGATGGGTCCAACTCGATGGCACATAATAACAACAACATTGTGCACCAGGTCTGTGCTGGGGCTGGCACAGGGAATGAGACAGAAACACCAACTCTGCCCTCTAGAGGGGATGTGCAAAAAACAAGTGAGCCAGCAAATGACATCATCACAGGTTATAAATGCAGTGAGAGAGACAAACAAGAGATGGAGCAACAGCAGAAGAGGGAGGCAGGGGCCACTTGGGAAAGGATGGTCAAGAGGCTTCTTCTCTGTGGAGGGGACACTTCAGCTGAGACCTAAGGGGCATGTAGTGAGGGCTGCAGGGAGGAGCAGTGCTGGCAGGGAGCACAGCCTGTGCAGAGCCCTGAGGTAGTGGAGGCATGGCCTGGGGTTGCAAAGAGGCTCAGTGAGGGAAGGCAGAAAGGAGTTGAGCCCTGATAGTGCAGGGCTCGGACCAGGCAGGTGTACAGATTTTATTTTAAGAGTAGGGGAAGGCATTGCAGGGTGTTTTTTTGGGGGAGGGATGACATCATCTGATGACTGTTTTGAGGTCACTGTTGCTGTTGTATAGGGAAAGGATTATATGGTGAGTAATGGCACATAACAACAACAACAGTGGACACATGGAGTAGCCATGAGTAGGAACTAACTATGCAGCAGCAGGTGTGTGTGTGTGTGTATGTGCATGCCCAAGAGTGGTTATAGGGAGACTAACTTTGTGGGTATCCCGACCTGATGTCTAGGGGTGAGGCACAAGGTTCTGGATGGGGATGCTGGGGAGATTTGGGGGTGTGTGAAAAAGGTGGGCAGGTCAGGGTGATGAATTAGGTATGATGGATGATGAAAGGAGATTATTCATGATAATTTAATGGTAACCATTTGTAATTAAGACTGAATTCCACAGCAAGTTAAATCTGCTAATCTTTCCTGCCACCAATGTTCTAATAACACCTTTAGGGAACATCATCGTGTGTGTGTATGTGTGTTTCTTCTCATTGGAAAAAAAAATATGTATAGTAAACACTTTCTAGTTTTCAAGCATCTGTGTTATTGTCAGATAATATGTAACTCAATAAAGGAGCAAAATTGTTGGGCTCTTGCAGAGGGTACATTTCCAATGCTGTGTGTAACTAAAAAAAAAACAAAAAAAAAAAAACAAACCACTGCCATCAAATTGATTCTGACTCATAGCAACCCCCACTGGGTTTCCAAGGCTATAACTCTTTATGGAGGTAGGTTACCTTATTTTCCTCCCACAGAGCAGCTGGTGGCTTTGAACCGTTGACCTTGGTATACCACCATAGCTCCTTGTAACTAGGTACACCCACTATTAATTAATTGGGCTTACAGCCATATTCATTTGCTTCTTGTAAGGCTCTATCATTTAATTGTGTTCCATCACAACAAAAATGGGCTGGCTGCCTTTAGTAGGATTGGTTACCACCATGACAACTGGCTTCATTATATCCATATTCGTGCTGTATTTCTGACTCATTAATTTGGAAAACAGACTCAGAATTCTAATGCAATCTCTTGAAGTGGCTCCAGAGCCCTATAACTGCTATGTACATGGAACCTTGTTGTGTGAAAAGCAGCCCATGCAGTTTTGGTTGGTTGGTAACTTATTGAGGAGAGTCCGGCTGTTGGCAGTGATGTAGAAATGGTATTAAATACTCTGCCTATTGACATTTTCACTCTCTTGTGAAAAAAAGTCTTTATATATCACATCCTCTGCCAAAATTGATTCCCCGCAGGCAGAGTGCTGAACAACCTGACCAAGTCAGGGTCTGAGGAGTACTTAAAAGAAAATCACATTCTGGAATATGCTACTGAACTTTCCAGGTTCCTGGACGGCAACCCAAGAGATCAAGCTACCATGAAATACACCGAAGGTGTTCTGATGTAAGCGTGTATTCTTTTTGAAAAAAAAAAAAAAAAATGTGTATATATATATACATATATACATATATATATATATATATTTTTCCAATACTAGCTTTTATTGTTACGATTAGTATATACTTAACCTACACTGCTAATCCATTTTCCACCAAACTGATTTGGCTACAAAATGTTGAATTATAGCAATTCCATGCTCTAGTTCAGTGTCCTCAACCAGAGGCAATTTTGCCCCAAGGGGACATGTGGTAATATCTGGAGACACTTTTGGTTGTCACAACTGGGGGAGGGGGTGCTACTGGCAGCTAGTGGGTAGAGACCAGGGATGCTGCTAACCATCTTGCAGCACGCAGCAGAGGTCCCACAATATAGAATCATCCAGCCCAAATGTCAATAGTGCCAAGGCTGAGAACAGTACTCTAGCTCCTTTATAAGATGTATGTGCTATCTTATAAATCACTTGGAAGTTCCTGAATTTCACTTACTAGAAACTGCTCTGCTGTTTTGTATCTTCCAGGACAGATTTTTGTATATAATAAGAGGTATTTATGAGAGTTATTTTTCATAGCATGGTAAATGTACTCAACATTTATCATGCCTGGTGAATAACACATGTGTTTTATTTTCAGGTTAGTTGCTGGAAACACTTGTCTTGCAAAAATGAAATTTCAAGAATGTTTAAATATCAGGAGAAAGTTGTTTGGGGAGAAAAATATCCTCGTTGGAGAAATTATGGAGTTTTTAGCAGATTTACTATTTTTTCCCCTAAATGGTGAAAGGTTAGTTTGTATGAAATGTTTCAAGTGATGTGGGCAGGAAGGTCTGGGTCACCCACTGGGGGTGTCTCACTTGTTTAGCTCCAGCCCTGCTCAGAGACCTGAGAGTCTCACCCCACCTGAGAGTTTTGTCCCCGTTTATTTGTTAGGACATGGATCATCATGTATTCGTAAGGAGCTGTAGCCCACCAGTGCACAGAGGTTTTGGCAGGAGGAAAAGTGCAAGAGAGTCTGATGTTGCCACGAGTGTTTCTCAGCATCACTCACAGGCCTAGTGAGGAAACTGCTCTTCCTCTAGGGCCTTGATGCAGACCTTAGGTGGTGTACATGGTTAATGCACTCAGCTGCTAACCTAAAGGTTGGGGGTTCAAGTCCACCCAGAGGTGCCTCTACTTCCTGGTGCCCTGGTTCCAAAAAACCAGCCATTGAAGACCTTATGGAACACAGTTCTGCTGTGACGCATAGGGTTGCCATAGTTGAGACTGACTAGAGGGCAACTGTGAAAAACAAACAAAAAACATCTGTAATGATTCTGCCTCGGAAACCCAAGGAGGGGTCTCTATGAGTCAGATTTGACTCAACGGCAGTGAGTTTGGTTTGGTATTAAGAGTTCAAAACATTGAGTCACTAGTGTTATTGTTTTTCTCACTGGCTGATTTTTGAGGCATTGGACAATCTACTTCCATAGTGATACTGCCTGGAAACCCAAGGAGGGTCTCTATGAGTTGGATCCAACTTTATGGCAGTGAGTTTGGTTTTTTTGGTTTTGACACCACATAAGCCTCCTCTTAAGGAGCTCTGGTGGTGGGTGGATAAGACATTTTGGCTGCTAACCAGAAGGTCGGGGGTTCATACCCACCAGCCACTCCTCTATTTCCATAAAGATTGACAGCCTTGGAAACCCAATGGGGGTCGCTATGAGTCAGAATTGATTTGATGGCAGCGAGTTTGGTTTGGTTTTTAAGCCTCCTCTTTCACATCTTCAGACCAGAACTGTGAGCAGAGAACAGGACATTTTTTTTTTTTTTTTTTTTTTTTAAGACAGGCAAACAGTTTGGCTGTAAAACCACTGCCTCATAAAAGAAAAATCTAAACATGTAGCATATTGCCTGAGTCATCTCTGTTCCCTGGGGTGCCCTACCACAAATCCGCAGCTGTTAGGGTGTGAATCACTAGACAGTACTGCTGGGCCATTCCACAGCTCTACGTCAGACAGCTGCCCCTCCATGGATGCCTTCCTTCCAGGCTTCGTTGTCCAGGGTCAACCTCGTGAGACAGTGGAAAAGTCGTTTTCCTTGTTGTCTCAGTTAGCTAGCGCTGCCATAACAAAAGCTACCACAAATGGGTGACTTTAAAGAACAGAAATTTATTTTGCATAGTTCTGGAGGCTAAAAGTTCAAGTCAGGGCCTTAGTCATGTCAAATCAGGGCCTCTCTCCTAGTTTCTGGTGTTTGTCCTTCGACGATTGGTGGTGTTCCTTTGCATGTAGATGAGTCCTTACATGGTCTGTATCTTCCCGTGTGTGTGCATTTCTGTGTCTATTCACTCTTTTTTAATAAGACACCACTTATAAGTGAATATGTTTAGAACCCACCCTACTCTTATATGGCTCATTAACATTAAGGAGAAAACCCTAGTTTCCAAATAGTGCCATATTTACAGGCACAGGGGTTAGGACTCCAATACATATTTTGTTGTTGTTGTTGTTATGTGCCGTCGAGTCGGCCCCGACTCATAGCGACCCCTCCTTGGGTTTCCGAGGCAGTATCACTACGGAAGTAGATTGCCCCATCTTCCTTCCGAGGAGTGGCTGGTGGGTTTGAACTGCCAGCCTTCTGGTTAGCCACTATGCTACCAGAGCTCCTTACATATTTTAGGGGGACACAATTAAATTCATAACACTTGTCGAAGGTTGTCCTTAGGCAGTATCACTACGGAAGTAGATTGCCCAACCTTCCTTCTGAGGAGTGGCTGGTGGGTTTGAACCACCAGCCGTCTGGTTAGCAGGCAAGTGTCTTAGCCACTATGCTACCAGAGCTCCCAGTCCTTAGGTGATAGTATCTTCTATATTGATAAAACCAGGAAGGAGCTGTTCTATTCCATAATTCAACTCACCTCTCTAACATGTGTAGATAGATCTTTTGTCCTTGCAGACAAGGACAGAAGAGAAAGCTGTCATGCACTATAGAAATGATTCATGGGATTCAGAGGATAGGCCTGGGCAGTGTGGATAAATGAAGTCAAATTAAAAAGTCAAAAATGAAAAGAACACAGAAAAGAATGAACAAAATGTCTTGGAACAAACAGTGCCACTTTCCCAGTGAAATAAATATTATCTACTCTTCCTCAGCCTTTATCCTCTCATCAGAAGTTACCCTTTCATCAGTGTCTTTTTCACAGTCAAGTTTCTTTACTTCCCATTTGAAATCTACCCTCACCCAACTCCATTTTGTCTCTCTTATGAAAGTCATCAAGAACATCTTTTTTTTTTTTTTTTTTCATCAAGAACATCTTGGAAGTGTCTCTTTGTACTTACATTATTGGCCCTCTCCTGCTGAGGTCATAGTTTTGACCACTCCCTTCCTGAAACTCTGTTCTCCTGGTTTCTCAGATACCTGCCCTCTTGGCTCTCCTCTCTGATTATGACTTCTCAGTTTCTTTTGTAGGTTTTTCTCTCTCTTTCTGCTTCTTGTCCATATGTCAGTGTTCTGTTGGGTTCAGTTCTTGGGTCTGGTTCTTGTCTCAATCTTAGCTCTTCATCTTCACTTGTGCCTAGGGCTTCAGCTGCCATTCCATAAGGTAATAACTTCTCACTATATCCTCAGCCTGTATCATTAGCTCTAGACCTGTGCATCCATCTCTTTATTGGTTGTCTCCATTTGAGTATTCCATTGACATTTCATTTAACATGTTCAACACTGAACACATCCACCCCCACTCTATGACAAAATGCTTCTTCTCTTGGCTTACCTAGTCCAGACACCATGGCACCATCTTAATGATACATCTTAATGATAACTAATATCAATCACTGTGCTAAACACATGTTATGCATTTAATTCTCATGACAACTCTATTATCTCCATTTGAACATGAGAAAACTGAGGCTTATGAATTAAAGATGCTTGCCCAACTTTTAACTGGTAGAGCCAGGACTAAAACCCAGGAAGCCTGATTGCTGATCCTCTGTGTCTAACCATGGTGGCCCACCACCAGGTCTGCCTGACTTTAAAGCTCAAGCTCTTAACCAGTTCCCTCTTCTTCATATACAGATGGTGTCCCAACACTCCAGCACTCCCACCTCCCACATTTAATCCAACACCAAAAAAACAAACTCACTGCTATCGAGTTGGTTCTGACTTACAGCGACCCCTCCTTGAATTTCTGAGGTGGATCTCTATGGAAGTAGATTGCCTAGTCTCCCTTCTGAGGATTGGCTGGTGGGTTTGAACCACCAGCCTTCTGGTTAGCAGTCAAATGCATTAGGCACTGCGCCACTGGCATCAGCAAGTCTCCCACACATCTGTGGCCACTGAGTTAGCTCAGACTCTTAACATATTTCTTCTGAACTAACAGGTCTCCCTCCCATAACGTTACCTACTTCATTTTATCATTCATACTTCCATCCATGCAAATTCTCTAAAATGCAAATATGACCACATTTAAATGAAAATCCTCCAATGTTTGCACTCAAAGTCCTTCATGAGTGGACCTCTGCTTCACACTCGAGTCTCCCTTCGTATCTCAGGAAGTTCTTTGAGGACAAAGATTAGTCTTACTCATCTTTGCAGTCAATGTTGATTGAATGAATGAATAAATGCATGCCATGTTCTTTCCATGCAAAACTCTAACATTCTCTTTTCTAGATTCCAAAGGAAGCAAGTAATTGAATATTATAAACAAGTGATAAAAATAAAGGAAAATGCAGAAGCTCTGGCCAACTCCGTGCTCATCAAGAGGCAACTGTGCATCAGCCTAAGTGATACCTTGTGTAAATTAGGTAACTCCTCTAGCCATTTCTATTTTAAACAGGTGTGAACAAGTGGCATTTTCCTTGTTTCACCCGCATACTTCGTTTATTGAATTTTTTTCCTTAATTTCTGAACCGAGTAACACCTGTTCCACTTTCCAATTTTCCTGCTGCCCCTTTCTCTTCTCTTACTGGAAAAAATGTCTGTTGACAATGCTCACCGTCATATTTCCCCTTACTTTGTAGGCAGAGCAGCATTGCAGCAGGCTCCTCTCCAGTCAGGGTAGCTTCCCTTCCTCCTTCAGATTCAGTTTTCATATTCTCATTGTAGCCTTTTCATATGGCTAAACATAATCAAAATCCACCAAAATTTGAACAGAAGGGTCATTCTGAGCAGTTATTCATCTTGCATATAGGGAGCCATTTTGTTTTCAGAAAAAGCAAATGCCTTGAAGAAGGTAGGTACAATGGGGCTTATAAAAAGAAGAGGAGGGGGAAATACAGATCAACCATGGACTAATTTTAACATGATTGATTGAACACTGGCTTCCCCCTTAACTGAGATCAACTGATATATCATCTGGCTGCTAGTAATTTGGCCCTCCACCCACTTGGAGCTGTGAGATGTTTTGAGATTTAAATTAGGAGATAATGTTTGATGATTATCCTTTTTCTAGCAGGATAAGACAAATTTATGTTGCTTTAGAGCGGTTTCTGGCAGGCTTTTGCAGTTTGGGTCAGGTTTTTTATGGTTAATATTTAGCTTCTTGAATAAGAAAAATCTTACACTTAAAATGAAATGTCTGTTATTAATTTTCCTATTCCACAATATTTATACCTGTGATGCAAGCACATGACAAAGAATAACAAAATGGCATTTCACGTGAGTCCACCACCCTTGATTTTAGTTATAAAATGTAGAATTCAGTGTATGGCAGCCTGGCTCAGAGGTTTGATTGCACTTTCTGATTAAAAATTAAATTTACTATTTTAAATTAAAATAAAATAATTGTTTAAACATTTAAAAATAACTTGGCCTTAAATTTACTAGGAAGGGTAGGGCTTTTAAGTCCATGCATTCTTTTGCTGTTTGTTGCTTCCATTCTGAAAAAGTGAAAGAATCCTGATGCTGTTGAGGTAAGTGAGATGGTTTTGAACTCGGGTATACTCAGCTCACAGAATGGAACTAGGTACTCTGAAGAGATAAACGCAAGGAGGTACATTTACATTGGGAAATCAGGAACTTACAATATAGTGTTTTTGACTGCTGCTCAGTGATCTAGGGAGGTGAAAGATACACTAATGAAAAGCAGGGCTACTCACCAAAGTAGGATATAGAACATTTTCTTTGTGGACTATTTTGGGTGACCTTGATGTCCCCCCAAGACTATGGTACTGAGTCCCCAGGCCCAGGACGTCACTCCCTCAGAGTTTTTGATTATGGCTAAGAAGCGTTCATAACTTTGCCCCTTATGCACTATTATATTCATGGATTTATTTGGAGCATATGTAAGTATATATGTAGAAATATTCTCTATCAAACCTATACATATTCCTGGGTATAGTCCCTTCTCTTTCCCACACCAATTCAGCTTGAGTATCCACTCTTAGATTATTGATTATTGTTATTACTGCTGTTGCACAATTATGTATGAATGAGTATTTCCCTCTGTTCCCTTTAACTCTTGTACTCCTCCACGCACATTCCTTTCTTTGATCATTTGTGCTGACCTCCTTCTTACTGTATATTGACTTCCCCCTCACCCATGGAAGTATGTGTCTACCCTCTAGTTAGAAGTTTACCCCCCCTTCCCTCTCACCCTTTGTAACCAATAAAGAATATTTCTTTTTGTTTGAAAACTTTTTCTTGACTTTTTATAGTAATAGTCTCATACTATCTTTGTCCTTCTGTGATTAATTAATTTCACTCAGCATAATGTTCTCTACTCCTTGGAAGGAAGGTTGGGCAATCTTTTCCGTAGTGATACTGCCTCGGAAACCCAAAGAGGGGTTGCTATGAGTCGGGTCTGACTTGACGGCACATACAACAACACCACCAAGTTTCTACCTATTTTTCTTTAATGGTATTTGTAGTTTCAGATTTTCCATTCAGTTCTTTGATCCAACTTGAATTAGTTTCCTGTATATGGTGTGAGTTAGGGGTTCTGTTTCATTTTTCTGCAAATGGATATCCAATTTTGCAAGCACCACTTGTTAAGGAGATCATCTCTTCCCCATTTAATGAGTTTCAGCCCTTTGTCAAAGATCAGCTGTCCATAGGTGGATGGATTTACTTCTGGGTTCTCAATTCTGTTCCATTGGTCTATGTGTCCATTGTACTGGTACCATGCTGTTTTAGCTATCAGGGCTATATTGTAGGTATTGAGATCAGGGAGTGTGGAGGCTTCCTAGTTTGTTCTTCTTTAGTAGTACTTTACTTATCCAGTCTTCCTTTCCATATAAAGTTGGTGATTAGATTTTCTATCTCTTTAAACAATGCTAATTGACTCTTGATTAGGATTGCTTTGTATCTGTAGATCACTTTGGGTAGTATTGACATTTTCATGATGTTAAGCCTTCCTATCCATAAACACGGGAGCTCTGGTAGCATAGTGGCTAAGACACTTGCCTGCTAACCAGACGGCTGGCGGTTCAAACCCACCAGCCACTCCTCGGAAGGAAGGTTGGGCAATCCTACTTCCGTAGTGATACTGCCTCGGAAACCCAAGGAGGGGTCGCTATGAGTCGGGGCCGACTCAACGGCACATAACAACAACAACAACAATCCATAAACACGGTATATTCTTCCATTTATGTAGGTCTCTATTGGTTTCTTGTCGTAGTGTTTTGTATTTTTCTTTATATTGGTGTTTTATGTCTTTGGTTAGATTTATTCCTAAGTACTTCATCTTTTGGGTGGTTATTGTAAATGATATTGTATTCCTGATTTCCTTTTCAGAATTCTCTTCATTAGTGTAAAGGAATCCAACTGATTTTTGTATGTTGATCTTGTACCCTGCCACTTTGCTGAAACTTTCCATTAGTTCCAGTAATTTTCTTGCTGAGTCTTTGGGATTTTCTATGTATAGGATAATATCCTCTGCAAATACAGGTAGTTTTACTTCTTCTTTGCCAACTTTGATGCCTTTTATTTCCCTTTTTTGCTTTAATGCTCTGGCTAGGACTTCAATGCAATATTGAATAGGAGTAATGATGAAAAGCATCCTTGTCTGGCACCCATTCGTGAGGGGAATGCTTTGAGTCTCTCTCCTTTAGAATAATGTTGGCCATTGGTTTTGTAAATATGCCTTTAATTATGTTGAGGAATTTCTCTTCTTTTCCTATTTTGTTCAGCATTTTTATCAGGAATGAGTGTTGGATTTTGTCAAATGCCTTTTCTGCATCAATTGATATGATCATGTGTTCTTTTTCTTTGTTTTGTTTATATGCTAGATCACATTGATTGTTTTTCTAATGTTGAACCATCACTGGATACTTGGTATGGATCCCACTTGATTATGATATATTATATTATTATTTCCTTTTTGTTGGATTCTTTTGGCTAGGATTTTGTTGAGAATTTTTCCATCTATGTTCATGAAGGATATTGGTCTATAATTTTCTTTTTTTAGTGGTGTCTTTGCCTGGGAGTTTATAGCCTTAGAAACCCTATGGGACAGTTTTACTCTGTCCTAAGGGGTCACTATGAGTCAAAATTTACTCCATGGGAGGTCCCCCCTCCCCGGCTTTGGTATCAGGGTTATGTTCACTTCATAAAATGAATTCAGGAATATTCCCTCTTTTTCTATATACTGTGATAGTTGGAGTAGAATTGGTGTCAGCTCTTCTCGGAATGTTTGGTAGAATTTGCCAGTGAAGCTGTCTGGGCCACGGCTTCTCCCCGCTCCCCTCTTTGGTAGCTTATTTTATAACTTGTTCAATTTCTTCTTTTGTTATGAGTCTGCTTCAATTTTCTACCTCAGTCTCTGTTAGTTTAAGTAGGCTGTGTGTTTCTAGAAATCTGTCCATTACTTTCAGGTTTTCAAATGTTGGAGTATAGTTCTTCATAGTGTTCTGTTATTATCCTTTTTATTTCAGTTGGTTCTGTTGTGACGTCACCCATTTCATTTCTTATTTGTGTTATTTGCTTCTCCTCCTTCTTTTCCTTTGTTAAATTTGCAACTGATTTGTTGATTTTATTATCTTTTCAAAGAACTAACTTTTAGTCTTATTGATTGCTCTGGCTAGGACTTCAATGCAATATTGAATAGGAGTAATGATGGAAAGCATCCTTGTCTGGCACCCATTCGTGAGGGGAATGCTTTCAGTCTCTCTCCTTTAGAATAATATTGGCCATTGGTTTTGTAAATGTGCCTTTAATTATGTTGTTTTTTCTGTTTTATTTATTTCCACTTGAATCTTTATTCTTCCTTTTCTTCTCATGATTGTAGGCTTATTTTGCTGCTCTTTTTCTAATTGTTGGAGATCTTGGGTTAAGGTGTTGATTTTAGGTCTTTTCTTTTTTGCTCTGTGCATTTGTTACTATAAATTGCTCTCTGGACACTGCTTTTGCTGTGTCCCAAAGATTTTGGTATGTTGTGGTTTCATTCTTATTTGATTCAAGGAATTTTGTTTCTTTTAAAACTTTCTGTATAGTTTTCCCTAAGAATTTACTTCAAATTTTAGCTTTATTTTTAGGATCTAAATAAGAAATAACAATACCAGATAATGTGGTACAGAGAATGAGAATAAATTAATCATTGGTGGTCATGACTCAGGTCTCTCTGAGTCAAGGAATTTTTTAATTTCTTCCATTACCCAGTAGTTTTTAAGCGGGGTGTTGTTATTCAGTTTTAATGTGTTTGCTTTATTTTTCCTTGATCTTCCTATTATTGATTTCTAATTTTGTAGCATTATAATCTGAGAAGTTGCTTTGCAGTATTTTGATGGTTTTAAATTTATTGAGGGTTGCTTTGTGGCCTAATATATGGTCTATTCTGAAGAATGTTCCATGTGCACTCAAAAAGAAT